TCAGCAATGGCCGGAATAAGCCATATGAGCACATGGAGAATCCTTAAAAACCACAAATTCCATTCTTACAAAATTAAACTTTTTCATGAACTCAATGAGGATGATTTTGATCGAAGACAGGAGTTTCGTGAGGGCATGAGTGAGAGATTAATGCAACATCCCGAGCTGCCTTATAACATCTGTTTTTCGGACGAAAGCTCATTTTATTTAAATGGTTGCGTGAACCGTCAAAATTTCCGTTATTGTTCGAATGAAAACCCAAGACAATCATACCCAACATCCCCAAAAGTTGAATGTCTGGGCCGGAATATTAGGCAATCATATTATAGGTCCATTTTTCATTGATGGAAATTTAACCGGTGATTCTTATTTACAACTTCTTGAAAAGGCAATATAACCTCGTATAGTTGAAATAATTGAACAGGATCCAAGATGTCGAAATGAATTTATCCATTTTCAACAAGACGGTGCACCACTCCATTATGCCCAGCAGATTCGAAATTTCTTGAATAATCATTTTGAAGGACAATGGATTGGCAGAAGAGGTCCAATTGAATGGCCAGCACGATCACCAGATTCAACACCACTGAAGTTTATGCTACACAGCCAGCCAATTTGGATGAATTACGTCGTAGAGAGAGATCTTGAATAATGTAAGAGCAAAATTCGAACAAAATCGTTATTGTTGCATGGAGCAAAATGGCGCACATTTTGAACATTTACTCTAAATTTCCTATGTGAGTTACCCTTATTAGATGTTACTTTTTTGTGTGTGCTTTAAAAACAATTATTGGGATTTATTAACCCTAAAACAGTGTTTTTAACTTTTCTGTGTCATCAGCATTCAAGGAAATCAGCAGGTTGTATTCGTTGTGTAGGTATGTTTTAAGTATGATTTACTTTTTTATCAGAAGCATAAATATCCACGTCAAAAGGCAACCTTCATAAGGAGGTGCCACTCAATTTACCTAAAATATAAGGGTGGTAACAAATAATTCTTACTTTTTTACGAAATCAAATGGGCACGTATTAGCAGGTTGTCATAAAAAGCAAAAATAATTTTTTTTATGTAAATTCTGAACGTTAATTGTACCTTGAAAACAATTTATTTTAAAAAGAGTTGAACTCAAAAATACCTTTAAATCTTCAAATTATCTCGAAAACTAATCGTTACAAAAATTTTCTTTTAACAGAGATGTAAAGGTATTCAAAAGACCTTTAAAACAAGGTTCCACTCGATCTACTTTCCCTATCTAAATAAGGGTCGTCGGACGCACCCCTCCGAGGGGGTGCGTACTAAAAAAAATATGATTAGTCTGAAAGGTGTCCCCCTTTAATTAGAAACCGACGTGTCCGAGCTTGTTTTTGAAAATCTTACTTTTTATATTCAAAAACGGCTCTGTTAAGTTTTCGTTGTTACACACTGTATTTGTGTGACTAAGTTAACTGTAGCATTAGAGGTTGATCTTCCATTTTGAAAACCAAATCGCGAATCTGAAACTATATGATATCTCTCTGTGAAAGTCATTGAACGTTTTTTGAGGATTTTATCGAATATTTTTGCCAGATTGGATATTATGCTTATTGGACAGTGATTTCTTACTTTGTTTTTTCGCCCCACTTAAATACAGGTTTAACAATTGTTATTTTGAAGTTCGAGGGGCATATGCCAATGGCAAAAATAGCGTATATCAAAATACATAAAGGTTTCGCTATATGTTCAGATAACAGAAACTCTTTCATACCCTTGCTATTTTTTATTATTACTGAACCGTCAGTTTATTCTTCCAGCTTCAATTTCAAATATTTTGTTTCGCTTCGGTATCTGGAATATACCAAGAACTCACCCACAGAGAACCATAAACCCATGTGGGCTATAACTATAGGTACTATAACTTGTAATATGATAACTTCTAATGTATGAGGTAATGTTTATGTTGGATATTAGTCTCGGCAAGAACCTATACACCAAGTTAAATTAGAAGCATTGCGGTAAGACAATATTTATGATTATTACAAATATAGTGCGGTAGAATGAAATCAGTTGTATAACTCATTCTCCTCACAAGTGTTGATTACAACCTAATTATAATGAGCGAATTCATTAAACGAGATACATATAGAGGGCATTGAATAACTGATAAATCCAGAATATACTGCGATTCAATATGCAGACACAAAATAGGATGGATGCTTTTATATGTAACTAGTTGTTTCCCGCGGCTTCGTCCGCGTAGAATTTGGTTGGTAACAATGATTTTTGTGGCAGAACACTAAAAAAAAAGGTAAAATATTTTTTACTAACCCAGAACTCTTCTAGTTTCTAGCTACAAAATTGACGAAATTCAATACAATCTTCCCCCCCCCTTTGGGGGTGGAAACTCCTGACTCCCTTTCCTGATACTTATTTACTCTATACAAAGAACCTACCTGCATATTTCGAAATTCTAGAAGCAGTAGCTTCGGCTGTACGTCAATATGAAAGCGGGCAACAGCTAGTAGTTTACATTTTCACTTTACAAATACAGTAACTGAAAAAATATGAAACTGCACTGATATATTTCTCAAATGAAGTTTCTGGAGATCAAATCGTAGGATAGTTTATGAAAAGATTTGTCGTTGACTGAAAGGCATCATCGTAACACAAAAGTAAGCAATCACTGATTTGTACTACTACTATAGATTTGAATCCTAATTTCTCATATTTCATATTCAGCAATTGACTTACACGAAATGGGTCATATCCTCGAATGAACATAATGCAGTCAATTCTGAGAAGTACCTCTGCCACCTCTGAAATCTGCCACTGCCTTCATTTGCCCGGCCCAACCAACTTGAAACTAAGCATATTTCTGCTAACCATCGCCGCTACTGTCAAGGGATCCCTAGTCCTCCGCTCCACCCCTACGACCCATGCAGCGGACGCCTCCCTCCATACGGAGGGACGAATCAGCGGTGGAAACATTTGAGTGCGGAACTGCACACTAGCCTGAGGAAAGTTGTTTCATATGTAGCAGCTTCTTTGAATTTCCCTTTCTACCAGTGTTCTTCCGTGTGGATAGCTTCAGCTTTGAGACTCTGATTTGCTGGTTTCTCACCACTGAATGTGCTTCTTGTGCTCCCCGATTCAGGCTTCCAACGGTCTCTTAGTTTCATTAAAGCAGGACTTCCCACATTCACATCGTATCCGCTCAACGTCATTTTTGGAGTCGTTGTTCGCCTGAAACAGGTTCTCATGCTGTACTCAGATCTGATTCGTCTTGTTCTCTTTGAAAACTATCTGATATAGGAAAGGATAATCATTGGCTAATCTTACTGGTATTCTGCTCATGTATTTCTGATTAATACGATTAATCGGTTTCTTGGTGTGTTGTTTCTTTCTGTGGACAGATTTTTCCCACTTCCTGATATTTTTTTACCATAACGTCTAGCTCAGAATCATTCTCCAGTATGAATGTTAGGTCTCACGCTATTGATCCTGAGTGTCATCGATTTATCTCAATCTCAACCAGACTGAGCAACTTCAGTAGCCAATGTTTTGGCTATGACTGATAAGAGTGGTGATCTATTCGGCAGTCAATCGTCTTGTATGAATGATTCCTTTCTCCCCGGAAACTATGACATTCTATCAATTTTCACCGCGAAATAACATGCAACAAAGAAGGTGATGATTGAGCTAGATGTAGATCATCCACTCAGTATGGTGGACCCTGAGCCAACTGTAGATGTTCTGAAATTATTGCTACGACATCAGTTCAGACGTTAGGTTATCAAAGAACTTCTACTGAATCTGATACACTGGGATTACACCTAGAAATACAGAGCAGAAACGACTCTGAACATTCAAAGAGCTATAGTGGAGAACATACACAAGAACAATAATGCTCTATAGTCTATTTCAAAAGAGTGTAGAGTAATAAATCATGAAGTGTCATAAAATTTGCCTGAATTTCGTTGTCGTCCATAGGCGTAGGCAAATCTTAGGATTATTAAACTTAATAATTAAAGTAAATTAAAAATTACAGACATAGATAATAATAAAAGGCCATTTTTGGGAAGTAATTTGGTCTAAAACTAAGTACCTATATGTATTTAGGTAAGTAAAATTTCTTAAAAAAAGATTAAGATTAATTTTAGTGGTTCTTGTAAACTTATTTAATATGCAATTTGGGTTCATATACTTGAGCATGATTTCTCAAAAAAGGGTTAACATTTAGTTCCGAGGTGCCATGTCATTATAATAATCCCTTTTTGACCCTGCCCACCAATCATGCAATACCTATTAAACCCAGGTAATTAAGAAAAAGGGTTTAAATATATTGTAATGGTGTCTTAAACATTCGAGTTATAATAGTAATTGTTACAACACCAATTAAACGTACAGTGATATTGTGATATAGAAATAGTGAAAAAGTTATAAAATGGGGACATTTACTCCAAAGAAAAGAAGTGTAAAAAATTCTCCGCTATCTGTTTGCGAAAAAGTTATAATTTTAAATGTATATGATTGCATAAAACACGATCACCCTAGTTTGTCTGTGCAAGAAAGTGTTGAGCGATGTGCCCGAATGACTGGAATTGGACAGTCCACGATTTTTAAATTATTGCGAGAAAGAAAGATATCAGGCCAGGTAAGTCCATGCAAGAGAAAATCAGGAAGACCAATAAAAATCTTAGATGAAGACACCAAATGTGACATTCGAAGAAAAGTTCATTCGTTTTATTTTAAAAAGGAAATACCCACTCTTGAAAAAATATTTATCGAGATAAGCCAAGATAACGATATCCCTTTGATATCCAGAAAACTTTTATGGAAAACTTTAGAAAGTATGAATTTTGCCTGGGAAAAGCACAATCGAAAGGCACTATTACTGGAAAGTGATGAAATTGTTTGCTGGAGACGAAAATATTTGACAACTATAAAGCAGTACCGCAGAGAGCAAAAGAAAATTTTTTATCTTGATGAGACGTGGATAAACGAAGGTTATATAGTCAAAAAAATGTGGCAAGATAAAAATATAACAAGTTCTCGCCAAGCTTTCATAGAAGGCCTTTTGACGGGTATTAAAGTGCCTTCAAGAAAAGGGAAGAGGCTTATAATTGCTCACATTGGAAGCGAAGACGGATTTTTAAAAGAAGGTTTGTTAAGCTTTGAGTCGTGCCGGACGGGAGATTATCATGAGGACATGAATTCGGATGTCTTCGAAGACTACTTCGGGGAAATGTTAAAATTTCTTTCAGCTGATTCGGTCGTGGTTATGGATAATGCAAGCTACCATTCAAGGCGCTTAGAGAAGGTACCAACTTCAGCTTGGAGAAAGCAAGAAATTATTAACTGGCTGTCAAATAAAGGTATTCAGTTTGAGACGAATTCAGTAAAGAAGGAACTACTAGCCATAGTAAAACAACATAAATCTCGCTTCATGAAATATGCCGTAGAAGATGTAGCAGAAAAGTATAAAGTAACTGTGCTGCGCCTACCGCCATATCATTGCGAATTAAATCCTATAGAACTTATATGGGCACAAGTTAAAGGATATGTTGCAAGGCACAATACCACATTTAAAATAAAAGATGTCAAGGTATTGTTTGATCAAGCCATTATGGAAATCACATCAGAAAACTGGCAAAAAGCAATCCAGCATGTTTTAAAAGAGGAAGATAAAATGTGGGAACTGGACAACTTGGTCGATCAGGTGGTTGACCCTATAATTATAACACCAGGGGATGATGACAGTTCTTCGGATGAAGACTATACTGATGTAGAATAATTTAATTGAATTGTAAATATACTGTAGCGGGATAAGCAATCTGGACAGAGACCAGTGTATCAGTGACAGTGACACTTTTGCTTAGGTTAGGGTTTAGAATTAAGGGTAGTCTGAATAATTATTTTCTCGGAAGGTTCTCGAAAATTGTACCTAGTAATCTCTAGAACATTCAATTAGGGTATAAATAGAGTGTTGTTAAACGTTAAGGGAAGTTCACAGTTTTAGTATTGTTCAAGTGTCAAATTGTAATAACGTATCCAGTAAAGTTCTTGTCGTTTTTGTGAATAAATTGATTTAAAGTCCCCACAAGTGTTTCAATACGTAAAGTTCGTTCGTGTGTGTTTGTGAGGGTGATACCTACCTGCTCTTTATGAAACGACATAATTTTGCAATGCGGACTAGGGAAGTGACAGAATTTATTGACGGATCACCCTGTAGCGCTTTTGAATACTTAATGAGATTTTATTACTCTACACTATTTTGAAATAGACTATAGAAACTAGAGAAGATCTACTAACCCGACCAAAACAGGACAAAGCATTGTAACCAAACATAAACACATAGCAGCAACAACTAGATTGAGCTACCAAATAAAATATATGAAATACTAATTTACCAATATCAAGAGAAAATAAACCTATTCGATCGAACTCTGCTGCAGGTAATGCAGTAGACAGTTACGGTTCGACACCTGGATACTGAAAGTTTGATGATGTTTCATCATGCTCGGGTACAATCAAGACTGGCTATGCAATTACAATTTTGAGCAGGTCTTCTTCAGCGAAAGAGGTATTTATTGCTCAAAAAATAATTATTCGTTGTATAGACAATGGTTAATAATAATAATAATAATAATAATAATAATTTATTCACATACAAGTTACACAGTTATACAAAGTTAGTGTGCAAATAATGCGTTGCAAATAAATTAAGATAACTCACAAAAGGTAAACCTTGAGCGTGAGATGCTTAACTATAAGCTATACATTTTTAGACATATACCCAAATAACACATGATCACAAGAAAAATAATGCATTTCCAAGTCTGATTCAAACTTATGTATCAGAGTGAAACGTCTTGAGAGAAAAAAAAAAAAAATGAATAAATATTATAAGTAATACATATTTTTTACATCAATATATTGATGTATTCGAAGGCGGGGGATTCGGAGAACCCATAACTTGGTTTTTCGTTTGAAAACTCTTAAGTTATGTATATTTTTCAGGGTTTTTGGTAATTCATTATAAAGTTTTGGACCTAAGTAAAAAAAA